TAAAAACATAAAAAAGAAAAAAAAAACCACTCTGTGTTCACTGCCTCAAGAAGCTCCATCCACCTGAGCAGTCAGGGTGGAAATATCCTGCCATTAGCACATCTCACACTGCACCCTTACACGCTCCTTACAGCCAGGAGAAAAAACTGAGCCATGAATTGTAATCTAACACTTGGAGTTTCAAATCTATTTATGTCACAGGAAAATGTAAACAGCTGTGGGTGTAGACATCACTCACTGGTGCAATTTTTTCCCCTGCTATCAAATCAACATTAAAAAAAAAGAAAATTTAAAAATTTAAAAAAAAAATTAAATTTAATTTCTTTTTTCCATTCCAGTCCCCTTTGAGGTCGCTACAAAACTTTGCTTCCACATAAATGTTGGGCACCACAATTTTTGTTTAATACACCTGGCAATGTTTTCAATATCTGCATAAATCCCAAATTCTTTTTCAAGGGCTATCAGCACTCAAAGAGTCAGTCAATTTTAACTTTTCATTAAACTTTTCATGATTATTTTAATGCTATTTGAAAACAGAAACATTTTTTTTAAACTGCATCTACTACAATTCATTGCTGATGGCAGAATATACAAATTTTAGTTGAAATGTGCATTTATTTGTATTTATTTGTGGTTTTTTCTCCATACCTGCCATAGGTTATCTGCCAAATTCCCAAACAATTCCTTCATATCCATCAGTTCTCACACACAAGCCTGCAAAATTCACTATTTTGTGTTTCTTTTTCCATGACATTTTTAAAGATATCCACTTGCCCATCATCATTCAGAATGTCTCTACATCCAGTAACAACCTTTTACTAGGAAAAATTACCTAATTAATACCTAATTCCCTTCCTTCCTTCCTTCCTTCCTTCCTTCCTTCCTTCCTTCCTTCCTTAGTACATTTTATTCAGGATATTCAGTCATTATTTTCTTTCCCTGCCAAATACACTTTTTTAAAATGTCTAAACCACTTGTTTTGTTTTATCCACTGTTTTTGTCACCCCTACACATTTTATAACGTTATTTTCCTTATTGGCTAATTCTCTTGAGTGGCAAGTGAAGCTCAGTACAATTTTCAGTCAGTCCAAGTCCTTTTTAAAGTACCTAATGACAGTTCCTCTGAGGGAATTCCCTTCAAAACTGTGTATTTGGCTGGAAAATTAGTTCATTCTTACATACCTTTTAAAACTCTTCACCAATATTATTGTAATTTTGGGGTTTTTTTCCTTTTATTGTACCTCTCTCAATTTAAACAGTTTCTTCAGACTTTTTTCTTCCTGGATGTTCCCCCAGCTTTGTTTCATCTCAATCAGCTTTTCTCACCTTGCTATGTGAATAATTAAGTTTATTTTGTTGCCTTCTTCAGTATTTTCTTACTAGTTCTTTGATGTCTGATATACGTTCAAACATCATTTTTAAAGAAAAGGAAATTTCTGTGCAGTGGGGAAACATTTTAGAAAATACTGGTGAGATTTAATGTGTGTACAGTCCCTCTACGTGGTGCAGAGATTTTAATTTCTTTTTTATTACCTTTCTTCTTTCAGGAACACCACCACTTGTGTGGTGCAGAGCTGGGATTTGCTGATTTCTCCACCAAAAAGAAGGGATTTCAATTTATTTCCTGTTCTTCAGGGCATCACTTTTCTTCTCCACCCTCCTTGGTGTTAAAGAGCAGCTTTTCCACCCAGGTGCTCTGGAAAATAATTTGTCAAATGTGCTTACAGAAACCATGGAAAGCTCTCAAAAGTGTCCAACACATCAACAAGATTTGAAATTACTTTTTTATTAGACTTAATAATGTCTGAGTTCCTTAAAAGTGTAGTTTTTGTCATGAATTTGTGTAAATTGTAAAATTTCTCCCATTGAATTCCTGGAGTTAAATCCCTTCCAGTCCAAACAATTCTGTGATTCTACACCACTGTCCTCTGAGTAAAAAAAAAATTGAAAACTAATAAAAAAACCCCAAAAAACCAGAAAAAAAGGTTCTGGGTACCCAAGAAAATTTTGGGTAACCCCAGCTTCCCTATGGTTATCCTAAATGAGGAATGCTGTCATTCCAAACCAATTAATCCATTCATTTCAGCTCTGGGTTGAGGCAAATATAGAAATGGAATTTTTCAAAATAATTTAAATCTATTTGTTAAATTATGTCCCAGAAATAATCAGGTAGAAAAGTGGAAGGTTTTTGGAACTGGATGGTCTTTAAAGTCTCTTCCAACCCAAAACATTCCATGAGAATTCTGTGATAACCAGGAAGAAAAACAAATGTATGGATCATTCTAAGTTCATACAGATTTTCCCTTGGCTTTCAGTTTAGGTTCATTTGTTAGTGGATTTCTTCCATTCAGTTCTGGCTCACCAAACTCTAAAACAACAAATGAAGATCCAAGTCAAGTTTGGATCTGGTTGACTCCACAAGTGGAGTTACATCCAAAATGGATTTGAGCAAAATCTGTACCCTCCTGGTTAGTTCTTTGTGATAAACCCAGGAATAACCAGAATATATTTATTTAATCCTGTTCTTGCAGCTGAACACAGCAATGAATGAACCAACAGCAGTAACAATTATAAAAATTAAGTGATTAAGAGCTGCCAACCATTTTTACATTAATTCAGAGCTCCTCAATCACAGAATTCCAGGGTGGTTTGGGTTGGAAGGGACCTCAAAACCCTTCCAGTGCCACCCCTGCCATGGCAGGGACACCTTCCACTGTGCCAGGCTGCTCCAGCCCCAGTGTCCAACCTGGCCTTGGGCACTGCCAGGGATCCAGGGGCAGCCACAGCTGCTCTGGGAATTCCATCCCAGCCCCTGCCCACCCTGCCAGGGAACAATTCCTCATTCCCAAGATCCCATCCAGCCCTGCCCTCTGGCAACTTGAAACCATTCCCCCTGACCTTACAAAAGTTTCCTGCCCTGTAACAGGATTTCTTTTGGTTGATCCAAATGATAAATTTACAGGGTATCCACCTCCCACTGAATTATTTTGGAAGATTTCAGCAAAATCAGTGAAACAGTTTGAGCATCAGAGCAAAAGCTGGAATTTTTGGCACAGAGCCCTCTCATTGTCAGAAGCCTGCTGCATTTGTCCACTTAGAAAATCCACCCCAAATTTGGGCAATTTGAGACTGACAATTTTAGCTTCATTTGGGAATGGGAATTCCTTCAGAAAATCAAAACTCAAGGGGCTTCTCAGTGGAATATTGGTGCCCACAGCCTGGAGGTGCGAAGGGAATTCACCTGTCCCTACATCTGGGCTGACAGTGATGACCTCTCCCACATGGGGATATTTCTCTTCCTGAAAGAGTTGTTTTATTCCTCCTGCTTTCTGGGTTTAGGGGTTTTTTTTTATGTATGTGGGTTTTTATTTTGGGTTTGGTTTTTTTTTTTGTTTGTTTTTTGTTTTTTGTTTCTTTGGTTTGTGTTTGTGTTTTTGTTCTCTTGCTTTTTTGGGTTTTGGTTGTTTTGTTGTTGTTGTTTGGGTTTTTTATTTTTAGAGAGTTTCTTTGGTGTGTTTTTTTGTTTGTTGGTTTTGTGGTTTTTTAAAATAAATAATTTTATTTCCTGGTCCCTTCCAACCCAAACCACTCTGGGATTGTTTCTGCAGAGGAGCCACCCTGGGGGTGCTGAGCTCTCTGCACAGCAGGATTGGGACACAGGTTCCTTGTGCTCCCTGGTTTGTTTGTGGGATCTCTGTTGCCAGGCTCAGGGGCAGCTCCTGCCTGCTCCAACCAGAGCTTTTCCTGGACACGAGGCTCCAGTTCCTAGAAATGAGTAACCGAAGTACCTTGGAAGAAGTTTCCCAAGAAAAACAGCTGATTGTGAAAGTGATGGCAAAACAAATCTTCACACTCAGAAGCAGCTGTGCTGTCCAGGCTTTTTTTTTTCCTCTTCTGAGTGCCCCTTGGATGGGGTAAAAAATAAAAGAAACAAAAAAAAGCCTTTTTATCTGCCCCACACTAATTAATGACAGTAATTACCTCCCTCAACTACTCAGCTACCTGAATCCTGCCAGTAATATTTAGTGATCCCAGTTAAATACCCCTTTCTTTCTACAATGACCACTTTCCCTCTCCTTCCTGAAATGTGGGACAACTTTAATATCTATGTTTTTCGTCCCTAAACAGGAGCATGCAGTGGGTTTTGCCAAGTTTTCCGTAAGGGCTGCAGAGGAAGGGATGTGGATGGGTTTGGGTACTGAAGGCTGAGGAGGAAGAGCACAGAACCACCCTCCAGGAACTGACAGTGTTATGTTTATTTTAACGATGTGAATCTGAATAAAATCTAATTTAGTGAATAATCTGTGAAGAATGAAGTGAAAATAACGACTCAGGAAAGCAATAACATTCACAACTCGACCGCTGCTTTACAGATTTCCTTCAGGACTTGCAGTTCCGCCGACCGACAAGTCCCGGTTCGGCTGAAATCCCGGGAATCCCGTCTGAGGCCACACCTGGAGGACATGGCAGCGTTTCCCTCAGCGCTGGGGCATTCCCACATTGATCGGTTCCGTGCTTCGGGTTTTCAAGGCGAAATTCCTCGCTGCGTATTTGCGAGGCGCTGCCCTCCTGAATGTCTCGCACAGGCTCGGGGAGCTCTGGGCACCGCGGCCGGGCCGAGTTTGGGAACTCGAAGCGATGAATCCCGCGTGGAATTAGAACGGAGACAAGTTCGCTCCTCGTTTATATCGGTGCTTATGGCTGTGCAATACACTCAGAGGGATACATTTCAGGACAGCGAGGCCTTTCCCGGGCTCCCATTGTCACCGCCCCGCAGTCGCGACAAGCGACATTCGAGGGCCGCGTAAGGCGGCGGCGGCAGCGACTACAACTCCCATCAGCCCACGCGGCTCCCCGGCCCGCAGCGGGCGCTGCGGGCGCGCAAAGCACGCCGGGATCCGTAGTTCCCCGCTGCTGAGGGTGTTGCGTCACTCACCCCGCCCGCGCTTTGCTATGACAACCGGGGCAGTGGGCGGGGCCGCGCGGGAAGCGGCGTCAGCGGCTGGGAAGTGACGGCAGCGAGGACCCGGATGTGGCGGGGGCGGGGCTGAGGCGCACCCCGCCCAGGATCACGTGAGGCGGCGGTCACGTGACACAGCGATGGGGACGGCGCTGGACGTGCGGGTGAAGCGCGCCGGGAAGGTCTATCGCGATGGGGTGCGTGTGTCGCGACAGAGCCCGCGGGGACAGCGGGGAACCGCGGTCAGGGAGGCCACTTCTGCCCTGGGCAGTGCCCAGCCCTGAGCAGAGCCCAGAGGGGCTCTGGGGGCTCCTCCCTGGGGACATTCCAAGCCCACCTGGAGCGTTCCTGTGTCACTGCTCCAGGTGACCCTGCCTTGGCAGAGCTCCCAGATCATCTCCAGAGGTCCCTTCCCAGCCCAGCTATTCCGGCATTCCCTGAGCCTGTCGCGGGTACCCGGGGACTGTCGGGGACACTGCGGGGTCCCCGCTGGGCTCGGGGCCGTGTCCTGGCCCGGCATTCCCGCTGGGAGCTGCCCGGGGCCGGCCCTGGCAGCGGGGATCGCTCGGCAGCGGAGTCGCTCGCCCTCTCCTGTCGCTGCTGCCGCGGTGTCGGCGTCTGTCCCCGTGTCCCTGCCCGTGTGTCCCGGAGCTTTCCCTGTGTCCCTGCCCGTGTGTCCCGGAGCTGTCCGTGTGTCCCGGAGCTTTCCCCGTGTCCCTGCCCGTGTGTCCCTTTCCCTCTGCCCTTCCCCGGAGCTTTTCCCCCGCTCCCAGCTCTTTCCCCGTCCCTGCCCGGAGCTGTCCCGCTCCCGGTTTCCCGGTGTGCTCCCAGCAGGTGCTCAGCTCCGGGATTTTGGGCGTTTCCTTTGGGATTGAGCCGTGCTTTTTTTCCTTCCCCACTTCCTGGGTACCGCGGGCAGACCCTGACCCAGCTCTGCACAGGCTGATATGGCTTGAAGAGAAAAGAATACTTTTAATTTTTATCACTGTTTAACTGGAAATCCTCAATTGCTCAGCAGCAATGTTCAGGTCTGTCTTTTTTTCTTGCACTTCTATAATAAAAATCCTTTCCATCCACCAGAATTCCATTTATTGAATGATTTTAATCCTGGAAAACTGGATTTGAAAGGAAGGGCGTGCAGCATCTGTCCTACAATTGTCAGATTATCTAGAGAATGGCTTTGGCAAAGCTGAATTATTCCCTTTAGGAATGGCTCCAGAGGGGTAAACACTGTCTGTGTCTCACTTTCACATCACTTTGTGCATTAAAAAATGATAAATTATTAGAATTTTGTTTATTTATCTATTTCAGTTTCTCAGTGCTGTGTCTATTTTCAGTTTGACTGAGCTTGGCTTGCTTTATATCACTTTAAAATGAATTTTTTATTGGTATGGAAAGGAATATTCCCTGGGTTTTAAGCTGAAATTAGGATCTGGTCAATCAGTCTGTCAGTTTTGTTTTTACCTTCCACTTTAACTCCATGTGGAAGGGTTTGTAATTTTAGTTAATTTACTGGGCCTGGAATCTGTAAGTCTGGGATGAAAATGATGGAAGAGCTCTACACTGGGGATACAGCATGGATTTTTAGTAGGAATCTCCTAGGAAGAGAAAGGAGCTGCAAACCTCAGCAGGTGGGCTCTCATCTGAGCACAGGGGCAGAATTTTGAGCTGTTTTTTGCATTTCTGAAGAAATATTGAAAGAAAAATTGATATTTAACTTCCAGTCATCCTTGCCTTTCCTGCTCCCAGGCCGTGCCCCCTTCCCATGTGCAGGCAGCAGCTCTGGAATGGGTTGTTGCTGTGTGACAGGAAACATCTCCTTTGTTGAAGCAGTTCACGTGTTCAGGGTTGTCCTTGCTTCTCAGAGTTGAGCTGGACTCATTTTTTAAAGCAATAACCTAATTGCTTGTGCTAATTAAGGCCCCTTAGCAGAGCAGTGCAGAATTTAGGTCAGCTTTTCTTTGCTGTCCCTTTGTGCTCCTGTTCCGGCATTTCCCACTTGCTGCACTTCCTCTTCCCAGGCTCTCAGGATGTCACCCTTGCTTGGATGTGGATGTTTTCCTGCTACCTCAACCCCCCCGACCCATTTTTGCCACCCTGCACCACCAGGAAAGACAAAAACCTGCCAAAATTCCCATTCTGCTGGAGATATCCTTGTTTGCAGAGTGAGCAGTCGGGATTGTCCCGTGGCTGGGGGGAGCTGTTCCTTGGGGCCAGCTTACCTGGGCAAGGAGCAGGAGAGGAACTTTATCCCCAGGGAACTCTCCAGTTCTCAGTGACCTGCTGCCCTTTCCAGCTGGGATTATTTCAGGATTGAAGCAGATTCTGCAGTGTGGGAGAAGGGGAGGATATACCATGGAGTGTGGGAAGGGAGTTTTGTGCTGCTCTCCTGCAGTTCACCAGGTTTTGAGTGTTACAAAGTCTGAGGATGCAGCATTTTTGTGCAAAGGATATTTTGTGGACAGCACATCCTTCATGGGATGAGTGACAACATCCCTGGAGCCACACAACTCCTGCCTTTCATTCAGATTCACTTCAAAACTGTTTTTGTGTTCATTTTTTGTATTATAAATCTCTTCTGCTCCACTCTCAAGGTGAATCTCACCTTCAGCTTGGCCATCCCTTTTCCAGTTGTGCCTTTCCTTCCCTCTCCTGTGGGTGACCATCCCAATTTTCATACAGCAGTTCCTCCTGGCAGTTTATTCCAACACAAACAGAACTTGGCTGTTACCAGCTGACCCAAAAGAAAGGTTTTTCATCTTCCTGGACAGAAAAATCTTGAAATTGTGGGAAGAAGTTGAAGCTCAGGTTAATACTTCAGCCAAGAGGGTGATGATATTTCTAAGGAAAAACCAAAAGTGCAGAGCTCTCATCCTGAGCTTGGGATTCTGATCCTGAGCCCTGGGATTCTGGAAATCCAGGAATTCTGGTAGAGTTGAGATGCTGTTGTTTCTCTTTCTCACCCTAAATCCCTTCATCAGTGTTTGTCTGTCCTGACAAGGTTACACCATTCTTTGGGAGCAGGATTTTTTTTGAGTTTGGAGATCAGTTCCAGGCTGTTTAGGTAACAACTATGAAAAAATGGATTTAAACAAATGTTTTCCTCTTTCTTAGGAAATTCTTTCTGGAGTGGTGGTCATAACCAGTAAGGACACAGTGCAGCACCAGGGGATCTCCTTAACCATGGAGGGCTCAGTGAATCTGCAGCTCAGTGCCAAAAATGTGGGTGTGTTTGAGGCCTTCTGCAACACTGCCAAGGTAAGGCCTGCCCAGGTGAATGTTTTTAGCACAAAAAACTTTGTTTTTCTCAAATGAAACCTTTCCTTCAAGGCTCTCAGGTGGTCAGAGCTGCTCATGGTGTGGAAGGGATGGGAAGCAGGGAAATGCTCAGCTTTATCTGGAGCCTGGAGCCCCTTTGGGCCCTGCCAGAGGCTCTGAGCTCTCCCTGGAGTTTCCCTTCTCCAGGTGAGCACCCTCAGCTCTCCCAGCCTGGCTCCAGCCCTGGGATCAGTTTAGTGGCCTCCTCTGGACTCACCAACAGCTCCACTTCCTTCTTGTATGGGAAGCCTAAGAGTTGGGGACAAGAATGGCAAAACTGCAGAGAGAAAAGAAATGTCATGTCCAAGCCACCTGCCCAGTCACATCACAGTTAACCCTCATTGTAGTGAGAGACTTCCCCTAAATAAGAATAAACTGCAGAGGCCAGGGGGGATGGCTCAGTGGCCTCGGTCATTCCTGCTGCTGTTAAGGGTCATAATTTAGGAAATAAAGCTCCACTTCCCAAAGCTGGTGAGCTCCCTGAATATCTTTGGTCATTAATGTGATGCACCCTTAAAATAGAAATTGTTTTCTTGAGCAAAATATTAATGTTTATTTCTATTGTAAAAAAATATTCCAGCAGTTTGTGTCCCTGGGATTCTGGAAATCCGGGAATTCTGGTGGAGTTTAGATGTTGTTGGTTCTCTGTCTCAGCCTAAACCTCTTTGACATTTATCCTTGCAGCCTATTCAGATTATCAACAGCACCATTGAAATGGTGAAACCAGGGAAGCTCCCCAGTGGCAAGACAGAAATTCCCTTTGAATTCCCACTGCAAATGAAGGGCAACAAAGTTCTCTATGAGACATACCATGGAGTCTTTGTCAATATCCAGGTGAGGAAATCCTGTCTGGAGAGAAAATGGGAATTTTCATCTGCACAATGTCTTCTGAAGCAGCTCTTAATCCATGGAAATTGAGGAGGAAGTTTGGTGGTGTTTTCTTTTCACACTGACTGAGCCTTCCACCCTTTATGCAGTAAATTTTTTAAGGAGTGATGGCACAAACAAGATGTTTGACCTGTAATACCTCAGCAGAGCATCTGTAACCTAAATTTGATCCATCCTGATGTGGTAGGAAACTGTTTCCATTCCCTTCCTAAAAAAAACCCCAGCACCACAGTGTGGTTGTATTCCAGATAAATGTGTAATTTCCCGTGGTGTTGAGAGCAACACAAATCAGGAATTGTTTGCTTTGCTGGGATGAGGAGCAGTAATATTCCCTGCCCAGATCTGCATGGAATACCTGCTTGGACACAGTCTTGTGGAAATAGAGTTCTGAAATTTGATCATTTTTTGGTTAAAACTTGCCTTATCATAGGTGGTTGGTTTGTTTGGGTGGTTTTTGGTGTATTTTTTAGGGGGAAAGTCTTTCTTCAGCCATCTCTTGAAGATAAATTCCGTGTTAGACAATGAAGTTTGATGCCACTGAAATGAAGAAAACAACCTAATAAACCAAATCACCCCCAGCAGCCTATCAGAAGTAACTAAAAGAAAAAAAAAAATCTCTTGTTTTTTGTCTGTGTTTGGGTGTTTTTTAAATCCTTTCCTTTTATTTGCTCAGTTTTGGCTTCTTCCCTCATGCAACAGCTGTTGTTTGTGGTAGGGATGTCAAAAATGGTGCAGCACTGGTTGAGTTGCTTCCCATATCCCAAATAATTTGCTGTGATCAATCAGTCAGTTTGAGCTACACTTTAATGAGGAATATTTATTTTGTCATTCCTTCTCTCCTCTGTGGAGCTTTTCTTGGATAAAATATCATTTAAATTTAATAATTTAAATTTCAGCCAAACTTTGAGAGTCCTGCTCTCCTGAGGAGGGAATTGTGACACAGAGGTGCTGGTTAAGAGACACTTCCTAAACCTCTGGGCAGTTTAATTGAGCCTCTCTTTCTTGATTTAGGGATTAATTGTGGGTTCAGGTCTCAGTTTAACCTTTAATCAGACACTGCTGGGGGGCTGTGGCCATGAACCAGAAGTCAGGAACCCAAATCCTGGTCTGATGGAGGAATTAAAAATCAAACAAAACAAAAAACCCCCATCCCAGCAAGTTCCCTGTCCTGTAGGGACACGGAGAGGCTTTGTTGGAGATGAAGTGTAGGATTTCTGGGATAACCAAATTCTTAATATTTTTCAACTGCTGGTTTATGGCTCCCATTTTAGGGGAGCAAATTGGAAGCAAATTCACCTCATTGCCTGATTTTAGTGCTGCTTTGAGCTCAGCTGGGTGGCTGAAGCTCCCCGTGAAATATCCCAACAACTGTAAATTCAATCCCACAATGAAACCAAAATTAAAGGGGCTGAAAACAAAAATACAAAATACAAAAATACATCACATTGATAATCCCTTAACTAAAACAGGGTGAAAAATCACCCTTAACTGGATAAAACAGCAACAACTCTCTGCACAGAGGCCGAAGGGAGGTGAAAATTTGGGAAGGAGGAAGGAAATCTGAATTAAAGCTTTTCTTTTTTTCCCCTTTTTTCATCCCCTTCCCCCAGTACACCCTGCGCTGTGACATGAGACGTTCCCTGCTGGCAAAGGACCTGACCAAGACTTGTGAGTTCATTGTCCACTCCCTGGTGAGTGTGCTTTCTGTTCATTTTGCAATTAATTAATTCTTTTAATTGTTTTTTTCTCCCCACTTCACTTTAAGGGAAAAAAATAAACCCAAATAAACCCATGGAAATTGTGATAGTGACATGAGGGATTACAGAAGTGTAGATTCAGAATATCCTGTGTTGGAAGAGACCCCAAAAATCATCAAACCCAACTCCTGGCCCTGCACAGGACACCCCAAAATCCCATCCTCTGCCTGAAACCTTTGTCCAAAATGTAGGAGTAAAGGAAATCTGCCCTGAAACAAAACCACCCCAAAGAGCTGTTGCTTGTGATTAGAAAAACCCATTCCTCTCTTAAAGAACAAAGAGGAGTTGGATTTTCAGATGTTTTTACAGTGCCCTGAGTTTATTCTCTTGTTCATCCTTGGAGTTCTGAGACAATGGGGTGGTCACATAAATGTGATGTCATTTTTCCAAACACTGTTTTGAATTATCCCAGCAGTTCTCAGCCAAAGTTTCTAGGTTCCCCCAGTCCTGGAAACGGGAGTTGGGTGGTGAAAAATCCCTGATTTCTGTTCTTCAGGAGTTCTGACTCCAAACTATCACAGCTGGGTCTGCATCCAGGTGCAAATCCTGGAAAGATGGTGGGACAGGCCTTCAGGATGACCCAGTCCCATCCTCAACCCAAACCATGTCCCACATCCAGGCTCCTGAACACTCCCAGAGACTCCAGCACCTCCCTGAGCAACTCATTCCAATGCCTGACCAGCCCTGCAAGGGAAACAAGGGAAAACTTGGTTCTGATTTCTGATTCTTGTTTCTAATCCTAATCCTTGTGACAGGAGGTTGGACTCCCAGAAAATGCTCTGCTGGTTCTTACAGAAGTTCCTGTGTTGGATTTGGGGTTGGTTAAATTGAGCTGTGCTGTCCAGAGCAGCTGAGGACAGGCCAGAGCTGATGAAATGTCTCTTTTTCCATCTATAACTTGCTGGAACACCCTGCTTCTATCACTCCTTTGAACTCTAACAGGACAGTAAACATCAAAATCCTTTGTGTTACTCAGGACTTGTGGTGGAAATGTTACTTTAGTTCTGAAGTAACTTTTTAAAAGATGTAGTTTGGTGTTACCAACAAGTTTCCTGTTGGTAAGATTTCAATATTTTCTGCAATGTCTGATGCTACATTTTATTGGTCCATTATTACATTTATAAGTGAGCCACACTTGTCAGAGGAGTGACAAATCACACATCCTGCAGTTTTCCTGGGTTTATTTCTTGTTCCCACTACAGCACTTCTGAGCTCACCAGTCAGTAAATCATGAATCTCTCAGTCAGGGTGAATTAATGAGGTTTTACTGAACATATAATTCTCACTGTCAGTGCTCAATGTACCATTTCCCTTCAGTTTATTCTGTGCCAGAATTTGTCATTTTGGGAAAATGCAGCCAATCTTTTGCTAATCTCTTCCATCTTGCAGCTGGGCAGCAGCAGCTATTTTGAATTCTTGAGCAGTGAGGGCAGATCTTCAGTCAGAGTTCCAGATCAGCCCCTTGCTGGTGGAGAACAAGAATTTATAAAGCAGATTTGAAGCATAAGTTCATTTAGAATCTCCACTCCCCAAATTTCATAATGAAAGGAAACATTCCAAGGGACAGGTACAATGAATTTATTTGTACATACAGAAATGTGAAATGGAGCTTTTTTTCTTCTCTGCTTCAGATGGGGAGGGTATTCCTGCTTTTCCAGGTGGTTTAGGGCAGCCAGCTGTTGTGGTTTTTTAATATTCTCTCTCTGTTTTGGGGATCAGATTTCAGTTTAACCATTCCACTCCCTGCAGTCACAGAAAGGGAAGCTGCTGCCGAGCCCTGTGGACTTCACCATTACTCCTGAAACTCTGCAAAATGTTAAAGAGGTAAAAAGATTTTTTTCTTATTTTATTTTAAATGTAAAGTTTATGTGTTTCTGAGTGAGACCAGAGGAGTGACTAAATTCTGCCTTTTAGATTATCAGGCAGATTATCTTGTTTTGTTTTTCCATTTTCTTTTTCACTTTTATGCCTCATCTCTTGCACTGTGGTGACCAATTGAAGGTGGAATTTTGCTCAGGAGTGGTTAAATATTTTTTATTCCTTTCCTGAGTGAAAAATGGCAGTGAAGCAAGGGAAAACATTCTATACATGGACAGCCAAGAGCCTTTAAAAAGGTGTTTGGAGCCTTGCTTATGCCTTTTTTTACAGCCCTCTGTGGCTTTGGGAAGCCTCAAGAAGGGCAGGCTTAGGTGGGATCTTGGGAAATAGGGATTGTTCCTATGAGGGTGGGCAGGGGCTGGGATGGAATTGCCAGAGCAGCTGTGGCTGCCCCTGGATCCCTGGCAGTGCCCAAGGTTGGACACTTGGGCTGGAGCAGCCTGGCACAGTGGAAGGTGTCCCCACCTCCTTCACCACACGGTTCCAGCTCCTGGATGAATTCTAACAACCAAGTTCTGTCAGTTCTTCCCAGGAAAAGCCCATCCATGGGTGGATGGAGGAGCAGGAAGGACACATGTCAAGAGAGAATATTGTAGGAGAAATTCTGGTACAGAGAGACAGAAATGAATTTAAGCTACATGAGGAATTTCTGAACTCCTGAATTCTCAACTTTGGAACTTTCGGCTAATTTCCTACTTATTTTAAGAGTTTTTTTCTTTTCTCCTTAGTCTGCTCTTTACAGTGGCATCTTTTTCTCCTCCTTCCAACCTTTTCAGAGAGCCTCCCTCCCCAAATTCCTGATCAGAGGGCACCTGAACTCCACCAACTGTGTGATCACGCAGCCGCTGACGGGGGAGCTGGTGGTGGAGAGCGCCGAGGCGGCCGTCAAGAGCATCGAGCTGCAGCTCGTGCGTGTGGAGACCTGTGGTGAGCTCCTGGGCAGGCACAGGCTGCAGGAATTCCCTCCATCCCTTCTGTCTTGGTTTGGAAAGCCAGGTGTCTGCTAAGGAAGGCAGGAGCCTCCCCTGAAACGGAAAATGTAAACCTCCTCCCTCCGAATTGTTATAATTTTGAAATTACGGGGCTCTCAGGCAAAGATATGGGAGTAGGAATAACTGTTCTTTATTAGGGAAAAAATAAAAATAAAATAAACAATGCAGTGAACCAAAACAACACTGACAGAGTCAGAACACGACCTGACACCCTATTGGTCAGGGTGCTGGTAGCAATCCAAATTGGAATTGTGGCTGCAGCCCTCCTGGAGGGTCAGGTGTGGTTCTGCTGGAGCAGGGATCCTGTGGAAGGGGTGTAGGCTTCCTCTGAAGATCCAGAGGAAGAGGCAGCTGCTGTTCCTCTGGGAAATCCAGTGGAAAAGCTGTTCTTGCTGTCCCAAGATCTCAGATTGTATCCAGGTAGGAATGCTTGGCTCCTCCCCTGGGCGGAGCATCTCCCAGTGGGATGATGGAATTTGATCAGCCCTGCAGGGACGCTCCCTGGCCATGGACAGCAGAGATCTCCTGGAGGGAGGATTGGCTGTGGGAGAGATAAAGAAAAAACTGCCCAAAGAACAGCAGAGAACTGCCCCAGCTCTGACAGGTGGCACATAGAATACATCTTGCCTTGCAATCTGGGACACCTTCCCAGGGAAACAGGGACCAGCATGAAAGAAGGGCCAGAGCTCTGAGGCCTTGCAGGGTTTGCACTTTGGAGGAACAGCCCCAGTATAATTTAAATTATCTCCATGATCCTTTACTCTGTGAAAACTTGCAGGGCATTTTTTCCCCCTAATCCTGGTGGATCTCTGCTGGTTCTTGGCTTCTTTTTTCTGCCTCTGTCAAGGTCGAGATTGAAGCTCTCAAACAGTGTTTTGTGTTCAGACTCAGGTGTTATTTCTTATCTATATCACAGACATAAAAGCCCTGAGTTCTGCAGTATTCTACTAAAAAGGTACAAAATGGCTAACTGTCTTTCTCTACAAGGCCTTCTTAGGCTAAACTATCCAATTACAAAATGACACTTAAATTATTTTTACTTTTAACCCAATAACTAATCACTTGAAGTCTGCAATGCAAACTTTTCTGTCCTATTACCACCAAACCCATGGAGAAAGAAGGTGGAGAAGGAGCAGCCTCCACCCTAAACCCTCCATCCTGCTTTATATCTATTACTGTATTCTAAACCCTTAAACTCTGAGTTTCCCACCCTGTGATATCACACACTTCTGTTCAAACTGCACACCCACAATCCCAGTTCTGTCATTCCATTTTGGAAGCTTCTCCAGGGCCTCAGGTCAGTGCAGTGTTCTCTTGGGGTCAGTGCCTGGCAGCACAGAAAGTCTGGAATTCTCAGCATCCAGGACTCCAACATATCTCCATTGTGAATTTTGGCCGCTGCTTTCTCTCATCTCCTCCCATTTTCCTCCTCTCTCTCCTTGCCCAGGGTGTGCTGAGGGCTATGCCAGGGATGCCACGGAGATCCAGAACATCCAGATCGCCGACGGCGACGTCTGCAGGGGCCTCCCCATCCCCATCCACATGGTGTTCCCCAGGCTCTTCACCTGCCCCACCCTGGAAACAACTAACTTCAAAGTGGGTGAGTGGGGAGGCATCTCCTGGGAGAGGAGTGGCCATGTTCATTCCCTTTCCATGGGCAGGTGAGGGGATAAATCCAGCAGAGCTGCAGGAGGAGCCCAGGACATCCCTGTGCTTCCCTGAGCCTGAGTCCTGCTGCATTTCAGACTGAGAAAACTCAGCCCAAACACTTCAACACAAACTGCTGTGCAGCCACTAAGCTACTCCTAACAAAATTCCATGATGAGGGACAAAACTCCTCCTCCAGGAGGAGCAGTGGAATACAGGTCATGTGATAAAACACTTGAGGAGTAGTGCAGGAATAAAATTCCCTCTTTTCCTCAGCAGTGAGAACCCCCCCTTTCCATTTCTTCTCCTTTTTGTTTCCCACTCTCCTGCTGAAAGCCCTGCAAGCAGCAAGGTTGGTCACGGTGTGATTCTCTTACCTACACCACGTGCTCCTTCCTGCTGATTGTTGTCAAAATCAAGTATTTTTATTAACAAAATCAGGATTTTCCTCACTTGTTGAAATTAGTACTGCAAGAATCCACTTGGTTGGTTTGTATTTCTTCCCTTGATCCTGCTGGAATCTGTTGGCACAGAATCTGGGTGCAGTGGTTTTCCCCAAAATAATTTTTTTTTTTTTTGCCATTTTAAGCTCTTCACTAGCAATTTACAATGAGAATTTGAATTTATTTTGACTTCTGCTTCCCTTCATTTATTAACTCTGCCTGGCTTTTTGTTCTATTTAGAATTGATTATTGCATCTGACACTGATTTTGGTTTTGAAGGACACAGTGTAGTATCTAAGAGCAGATTTTCCTCTGGAATTTTTGCTCCCCAGTGTGCAGGCCTATTGTCTTCCAGTATTTCATTTCCCAAGGCTGTGACATGCTGGAAACAGGCAATGGGTCTGTCCTGGAATTCTCCCATTCCATGCTTTAAACACCATCTTGGTGGTGTCTTTCCCAAACCATTTTGTTCTTTGATATCTGAATCCTCTTTTCCAGAGGATTGTTTGCCATGGTTTATCAGTGATAAAGCAATCCAGAGGAATTCCGTAAGATTACAACAAAGCAGGATTTTCTGGGAATGGTCCAAGGGCTGGGATGCCTGGGTGAGGTTCTGACCTCACATGGAATGTTTCAGGAGCTCCTGCCTCATTCTGCTGCTAGGATTCAGCTTTCCTGTGGAATTGAAGCAGGATTGCTGCTAGGATTCAGCTTCCTGTGGAATTGAAGCAGGATTGTTCTAGGATTCAGCTTCCCATGGAATTCTCTCTCTTTTTCCCTTCTCCCAGAGTTTGAAGTGAACATCGTGGTCCTCCTGCACGACGACCATCTCATCACAGAGAACTTCCCCCTGAAGCTGTGCAGGATGTGAACATCCACAGGAGAAGGATTTTCTGGGAATTCCTCAGAGGGAAAGTGGAACTTTATCCATGCTTGACTTCAGCTGGAGCCACCTCACTTCCTTCTTCCTGTGGACACTTCTTGTGCTTCCACTTCTCTATTAGCCTGGCCAAGACTTGGCCTCTCTTCATTTCCCAATCCTACTGCCTTCAACAACCATGTTTTTCCCAATTTTTCTCAGGCAAATCCTGAAGGAATCATTCTGTAGCTTTCTACAGCTTGTAGAAGTATGTAGCAAGTTCCTCTCTTGATTTAATTTTGTAATATTTGTTCCAAAGTCCTTTGAAGACCCCTTAAAACTCATAAATCCCATTGTAGCCATACTGGGAGGATATGGGAATTGTTACACGATGAGAAATAAGGTCTTTGAAGGTCTAAAAAATGGTGCTACAACTCTGGAAGGTGGTGCTGTGGGATCTGTCCCAAGGTGGATGGGAAATGAATTATTTCAAATCACACCAAGGAAATTTTGGTCAAACTGGGAACAGGAGTTGGTGTTGAAGGAATAAATTCATGTGTTTGTGACTGTACAACTTAAAGGAAAAGTAATTCAGTAAGAAATAACCTTCCCAACACAAACAGGTTGTGGATTTTGATGTTGTTTTCATGGAACAGCCACAACTTGTGGGTTTTCCATTAATTTTCCATGTGGAGTAGAGGCAGGCTCAGTCTATATTATGGAAATTGGAAGTGTAAAGATGAGCCTCTAAAAAGGCAGAATTAAGAAAACTAAGAAAAATCATTTTCTTTGGTTTGTCCAGCAGCATTGCCAAGCAGGAGAATGTAATTCCAGTTTGGGTCCTGGTGTTTTAGGAAGAAAAAGCTGAAATTTTCCTTTCAGTGTCTGGGAATGGGGAGGAAAATGGTATTTACTGAAACTTAGCACTTTTCCCTGAGACCAGGGGGATTTGGGGAAGAGCTGCAGCCCCCCAAACTTCTGGAAGCTGAAAAGGATTCCAGTGCTGGATTTTTTAGGCCTTAATCCTACAGCACAGAGTAGTTACTCACCCCTAACTCAGAGTGAGCAGAAATACCACACAAACAACAGGTTTGACTGCAGCAGTAATTTTATTTTGTTATTCAAGTGGTAACTAATACAGTGATTAATGAGAGAGGAGTTTAAAACTTCAGCTGGAGAAGATGTAGCAGTGTGGGGAACAAGTGATCCCTGGAATTAGCCAAGAGCTCCTAATCCATGTGATGCTCCCTGGATTCAGACAACAGAATATTTGAGTTTAAGATCCTCAGGCTCTGGTCCTCACTTTTGGCTGTTTGGGACAAATTTGTCTGTGTTGAAGGTGCTCTGGCCACTTCAGACTCAGAAAACAGTGGGAGAAAACTCCCTGAGCTGTTGGAATTCTGCCCCTCCTGCTACTGGTGACCATTCCTGCACAAAATACAGAGGAAGTGCCACTTAAAAATCCTTTAAAAAATCCTTCCCAGTTAAACAGAGCAGCTCTTCAACACGGGGGGAAATTAAAATTTCAACCTTATTTTGAGATTAAAGAACTGATCCATATTAATTTAAAATTCTTGCTTCAAAATGTGACTAAAAGTCATTATTTAAACAATTTGAATTCTCAGCTGTGGGTTTTTGGGGAGAGAGGAGCTGCAAAGACCACACCAGGCTTGAATCCTGGATTATCAATGCCAGAGGAAGGGCATGTCTTGATTTCCAATTCTGTTGGTCCATCCTTTGGGTCACCTACTTGTTTGATATTGGAATAAATCTGAGGGGAAAGCCCCCTCTTCACAGGAATCATGCACTGGCCTTTTAGCTAAAAGAATTTGCTACTTTCAGTGTCCCTTAGCCAAAAATTCAGCAGTGTTGTGTGCTGCCAGCCCTGAACTGCACAGCTTCGGGCAGGAACCAGGAGAAATCCTGGATCTTGGAGTGAAATCCCATGGCCAATGAACCCAGGGTTCTGTCCTGTCCCCCAGCACTGGGCTTGTGCTGCAGCCCCTTTACATCTTGAATTCTGCAGTGAAGGAGTAAAACAGGAGTAAAGCAGGCTCAGCTGGACTTGTTCCATGCAGGAAGCTCAGGGAAGTCCTCGGGCAGCAGAGCGTGGACACGGCAGATGGGGCAGGTGGAATGCTGCTTGAGCCACGTTCGGATGCACTGCGGGAACAGGGAGAGGGTCACAGGCAGAACTGGGGAAGGGGAGCCCAGGGGAGGCTGAAAATGATTGACTGGCACTAGTGGGGAAGCTCTTCAGGGAGTTCTACACCCCCAAATTTCAGTGGTGTGGAACTGTCCTCCTGCTCTGATCAGATTTATTCTGCAAGAACAAATCAGCATTAAAACCAAAAAGGTAAAGGGAGACATGTGGAGTTATTCCAACACAATCCTGGCTTTTTTACTTCATGAATTTCCACTAGCAGGAGGCAAATACAGAGTTTTCAGGGATAACCCATTCCCTGAGTGTGCTGCCAGCAATCCCAACCAAATTCATTCTCTGAAGCATCATCTGAAATCCACTCTGATGAATCATTTTACTTTCAAAAACACCTAAAGCTTTCTGACAGGCTGTGGGTCAAGTTTGGATGGCAAAGGCTAGAAAAAGGAATTATGCCCTGTTGTTTAAGCACAGAAGGGTAAGGGGAGGGTAAAGGGGTTGCTTTTGAGGTGGAGATGAGGAACAGGAGCAGAACTCACCTCTCTGTGGAAGTGATGGCCACACTCGAGCTCACAGCAGTCTCTGCTCAGCTCATCGTGACAGATGGTGCAGGGATCCTCACTGCAGGCCTGGCCAGGAGAGGAATGCTCAGATATTTAAAAATCAGCAATTAACCAGCACAATCTACTCAATTAACAAGGTCACTAACTTTAACCAAGTCTACTGAAGCTTTTGTACACAAAATAAACGAGGCAATTTTTTTTTTTTTCCAGGATTATTTCGTGTCTTGTACAAAGCACATGGCAACAACTCCAGTGAAACAGAAAACTTACAGCACTGTCCTGCTTCCTCCATTTGGCTTTAGGTGTAGCTCCAGCATTTCCCCAGGGCTGCAGGTTTGGCTGGGAGGGGTTTTTACTGGAGGAGGTTTTAGGGGCGGGTGCTGCCCGGAGAGAGCCGGGGCCGATTCCTTCCATGGGCGCTTCCCTGCCCCGCACCGGGGGAGCGGAGCCCGGGGAGTGCAGGGCTCTGCCTGCTGGAGGTGCCTGCACAGGGATCAGAAAGGAACTGTGTTCTTGGGGCTGTGCTGCTCTGCTTGCCATGGGAGGAAGAGGAGCAGCTGCAGCCCCAGTACCTTGAGCTGCTGGTCCAGGATGAGCTCGGTGGCCCGGCTCAGGATCTCATCGGGGCTCAGGCTGGCCACGCTGTTCCCATTTCTCCTCTGCACATCCCTGATGGAGGCAATGAGGTCTGAGCTGCAGGGACAGGAAAGGCAGGGTCAGGGATGGCCCTGGAGAGCAGGACAGGCTCACTGTTTGATCCCAGCAGGATCAAAGATAGCAGCTTTTCCCAGGAACTGGAGCCTGCTCCCAGTGACTCTCAGTATCCAGGATGAAACCCCTGAAGAATCACCAGAATCATGGAATGGGTTGGGAGAGACCTGAAAGCTCATCCCATCCCACCCCTGCCATGGGCAGGGACACCTTCCACTGTGCCAGGCTGCTCCCAGCCCCAGTGTCCAACCTGGCCTTGGGCACTGCCAGGGATCCAGGGGCAGCCACAGCTGCTCTGGGAATTCCATCCTAGCCCTGCCCACCCTGCCAGGGAACAATTCCTCATTCCCAGTATCCCATCCAGCTCTGCCCTCTGGTAGTTTCAAGTCATTCCCCCTTGTCCTGTCCCTCCACCCCTGGTCAGCACAACAAAATCAATTCCTTCTGCCCTTCATCCCAGGCTGTTCAGACCTTGTTTCACAGCACTCCTTCCACCCAGTACCTGCTGTGGCTTGGGAATATACTCTGGAGCTGGGCTAAAATATTTTCAATTTTCTTTGGAAGCTTTTTGTTGGTTGGAATTCCAGAAGGCCTCGGCTGCAGAGCTGAGGGATCTTGGTGGGTCTGGTTGGGCTGGACATGCTGGGAGGTACTTCCAGAAATGCCTGATGGGCAGGATGGTGAGATTTTATTGGAATGTGATCCCTCTGGAACTTTGGGATGTGCTTTCCCAGCTGCAGAAGAAGCCTCAGAGGTGGCAGGTGCTGCCTTAGCTCCGGTCTGTGCTTGCAGTGGAGGCTGGGCTGGAGCTTTTCCATCACAACTGGAAAACGCAGGGAGGGCACTGGGATGTGCAGGTGCTGAGGAATAGGTGACAATGGCAGGGTCACACATGGGAGGTCTGCCTGGCATTGTCTAGGAAACAAACACATTTCACAGGAAACAGTGATTAAAACAAATTCAGCCTTTGCAGTGGGGATTGTAACAGGTTTGGCTCTGCCTAGGATCTCAAAGGTGACATCAGTTTATCTTAAAAACTCCCTGACATCAGGGCAGTTGTTCGACCTCATGGTTATTTCTCTTCTAAAAGGTCACTCTGGTCTTACTGCAGGAAAAATAAATTCCAAATGCAGAACAAGAGGCAGAAAAGTTTCTCTTTGCCAGTAAATTGGTGGTGATTAAGTTGTCTCCATATTCTGTGTCAGTAAATAGAAAGGACAGACCTAAAAATAAGTGGGGAATTACACAGGAGAGCAGGAGAGGAACTTGCAGAAGCCCAGAAAAAGTGTAATAGCCATCTCAAGTATTAGACCAGAGCCTTGAATCTAAACTACACTCAGATCAAAAAAAAAAAAAAAAAAAAAACAACCAAAAAAACCAAAAAAACCCCAAACCAAGATTTCAACAGAGAAAAAAAAAAAAATCCAAAACTTAAAAAGGACCAATCAGAGAGGTCAGAAGAAACTGCTTTGGTTTGAACAAAGCATTGGTGGAGCTGTTGGGCCATGAGAAAATGTCTGTGAACAGAATTTCTGGAGCTGTTCTCATTCCAGATGCAACCCCAGAAATGGCTCTGCTCCTCCTGACACATCTGGCTGGGGGCTGAGCTTGGAGTTTGCAGTCAGTGACACACAGTGCTGCAGGAATTCCTTTGGGAAAGCTTCCCCATGAAAGGGTGCTCAGGCCTTGGCAGGGGCTGCCCAGGCAGCTTTGCAGTGCCCATCCCTGCAGGTGTCCCCTGGAGGTGGCACTGAGTGCTCTGGGCTGGGGACAAGGTGGCCATGGGGCACAGCTGGGACTCCATGGGCTGGGAGGGCTTTTCCAGCCTCAGGGATTTGGGGATTCTGCATGATGGGGCTTATCCCAATGATTCTGGGGCTGTTCAACCTGGAGAAGGCTCCAGAGAGCCCCTTCCAGTGCCTAAAGAAGCTCCAGGAGAGCTGGACACAGACTTGGGAGAAGGGATGGAGTGACAGGACACAGGGAATGGCCTTGAGCTGAAGGAGGGCAGGGTTGGAGGGGATATTGGGCAGGAATTGTTCCCTGGGAGGGTGGGGATGGCCCTGGATCCCTGGCAGTGCCCAAGGCCAGCTTGGACATTGGGGCTTGGAGCAGCCTGGCACAGTGGGAGGTGTCAGGGCTGGAACTGGCTGATCTTTAAGGCCCCTTCCAACCCAAACCATCCTGAATTCCAGGATTTTGGTGCTACAGGAACCCTACAACAGACAAAACCATCAGTGAGTCATTTCCAACTTGAAGCAGCTTGAGCCTCTCTCAGGAGCTGGGAATGTGCTGCTCCCTGACCCTCCCCAGCTCCACCTCCCTCCCCTGTTCCTCTGGAGCATCCCCTGGCTGCAGGCAGAGCTTGCTGTGTCCAAGGCTGCAATTCCAGCTCTGGACACCTCCCAGCAGTGCCAGCCATGCCAAGGGAAATGCCAGGCACTGGAGCTGCTGTGGAAGGTGGGATACTCACAGCAAACCCCTGAGGCCAAGGAAAATCCACAATTTCCACTTTACTGAGGCAGTTCCGGGCCCCGTTCTTCACCAGCTCGATTTTCTCTTCATACTCAGCCTGCAGAAGGAAAACCAACCATCAGCAGCATCAACCTGAGCTCCCTCCTCATTAAAAATCACATTTTACAGTCAGCTTCTCACAGAGTTCCCTGGGTTTTTGTTTTTTTTTTTTTTTTTTTTTTTAAGAACTTACATGGACAGGTCACCAACAAAAATAATAGACTTGTTAATATGGTATTCCTCCCCTGTTCCTCTGGAGCATCCCCTGGCTGCAGGCAGAGCTTGCTGTGTCCAAGGCTGCAATTCCAGCTCTGGACACCTCCCAGCAGTGCCAGCCATGCCAAGGGAAATGCCAGGCACTGGAGCTGCTGTGGAAGGTGGGATACTCACAGCAAACCCCTGAGGCCAAGGAAAATCCACAATTTCCACTTTACTGAGGCAGTTCCGGGCCCCGTTCTTCACCAGCTCGATTTTCTCTTCATACTCAGCCTGCAGAAGGAAAACCAACCATCAGCAGCATCAACCTGAGCTCCCTCCTCATTAAAAATCACATTTTACAGTCAGCTTCTCACAGAGTTCCCTGGGTTTTTGGGTTGTTTTTTTTTTTAAGAACTTCCATGGACAGGTCACCAACAAAAATAACAGACTTGTTAATATTGTGTCGTGGTTTGGAATAGGAGGAAATCTAGGAAAGTGATGCAAAAATCTTAAAATTAAATTAATTAAATTAAATCTTGAAATTCGTAAAATCTCAACAAATCAAAACCACCACATGTGGGGCCCCAATTTTGAAGCAAGTGTATAAAAGGCAGATTTTTGCTTTTAAAATAGTGAATATATCCACTAGAAATCAGCAGCCTGGACTCCAAACTGTCTCCTTTCTTTTGTAATTAAAAAAATTCCCCTCAGCATTTGGAGGACAAGCTACTGGTGTTTTAACAAACAAATGCAAAGTTATTTAATGCTTTCATTTCCAAAGTTCAACTGAGAAGCTGGTGGAGAGAAATGAAATTTTACCTCGACTTTTTCCAGTTGTTTCTTGACATTTGAAATAAATATTTCCCAGGAATCAATCTGGGACTTCAACACAGGAGCTGCTGAAGCTGAGCTGCTGGAATATCGAGGATTTACAGTTAAACTCCAACATTCCCATTATTTTTAACACCAGTGCTGTTGGCCCAACAGTTCCTCCCTCAACAATTAATTCCAGTTCAAGTTTTCAAAGGATTTCAGGTTAAAATCAGTTGCACTGCAGCTCAAGGGATACTGGGCAGGAATAACTGAATTATTATTTTATTATTATTACTATTACTACTACTACCACCCAGATAATCTGATTTTCCCAGCTCAGAAAGACAACAAGGATCAGGATGAAACTCAACTTCCAGCTGAATTTTGTTTGGGGCAATATTATTTACCCCCAATTCTGTGCACTTTTATACTACTACTACTATTAATTTTTTATTATTATTGTTTATTATTCATATAAATACTATATATTCCATATAACTACATAAAATAAGAACTATAGTAGATATAATTATAGAATATAAAATAAGCATTATATAGTAAATAAATAACAAGCAGAAGCAGTGGAATTCCTGGTGGGAACTGCCAGGACCTGCCCAGTGCCTTCAGCATCCTGAGATTTCCTTCTGCCTTGGCAATGGTGCCTTTGAGCTTCCAGATTTCAGTTTCCTTCCAGGTCTGGAGCACTGAGACCTGTGACAAAAAAGAACAAAAACAAACAAACAAAAATTTTAAAAACAAAACACAACAAAAAAACCCCAAAAAACAAACAAACAAACAAACAAACAAAAAAACCAAAAAAACCCAACCAAAAAAAAAAAAAAACAACCCCAAAACAAAACCCCACCTCAAAAACCCCACCACAAAAGTCACAAAAAAACACCAACCCAAAAAAACCACCAACACCAAGTTAAACAAACAAGAAAAAAAGGGATAAAACCTCAAACTGG